ACATTACCGTGTAGGTGTCATTCTGCTGGTTTTGGATTAGGTTCTGTCTGTCCGATGCTGGAAGAGAAGAGAAATTTTACAGAAATTTAATACCTATCGGATTGCAAACAATGGTGCCACCAGACACTAAAGAGTTAAACATAGGATGATCCATGTCAGGAAGGACACTTTGAGCCAGGACAGGGTTTGTAAACGACCATTTTAATTGAAAGGACCTGGATTTCACTTAAGCACTGAGTTCTTGCCCTGTGCTGATTGATCAGTCTCCTATAATGCATGTGTCACTAATGCTAATGTGAAACAGCTGGATGAGTCTTTCAATCAGGAAAACAAACCTGTAAAAGCACAAGAAGAACTGAACTATTTAGCCAAACACAGGAGCCTTTCAGTTTTAAAGTAGTTTGTAAAACCTGAAGGAGCTCAAAATTTCCGCCCTGACATGGATTATCTGGTCACCATAATTATACACCGCTTAGTACATTTATATAACAAAAAAGCAGAACTAATCAAAGATATCAAAAACAGTAGGCAGGAGTGGAGAAGCTAGTTGTCCATGAGCATAAAACATTCACATTTTATGCTTTTCAGCAGATGTGTTTATTCAAAGCAGGGTCAACCAGTCCTTTGGACAATTAAGAGGTAAGGGTCTGCTCAAGGAAACAATGGAGGAGTCACAATGGTGACAACACTGAGACCTGAACTGGTGATCTTCTAATCACGGAAACAACATGCTAACCTCCTGAGCCACACATGCCTCCAGGCCAATAACACAACTGCCTTGTACCAAATAGACCGATAATATAGGTGTTTACAGCTCATAGCACGTAATAAGGGCCCCAAACACACATCAGGCCCGACATTTTCACATGGACATCAGCAGCCGTGAAGCGGAGAGTCGTGCACCTTTGCTGTAGTTGCTGCCGTAGCCCCTTGCCTTGGGCTGCAAGGCCACGAAGTAGACAGCTACCCCGATGAGGATGGTGGCCAGAATGTCCCCGATGATGATACCCATTATGGTCCCCACTTCCAGCTGAATGCAGTTGTCACAAGCTTGGAAACAAACATAAACGTTGAGAGTGACGTGCATGGTTATGGGCGGCAGCGAGCGGGCTGACATCGAGTTTGCTTCAGGACTCTAGCCTTAACTTAAATCACATTAAAAAAATATTAAGATGCCTGCAAAATAAATAGAAAAAAGCACAAACCAGGAATGACCATAAGACAAGTTAGCAGCTGTCAGTAAGTCAAAATTGGCAGCTGTTTGACAACCGAGTTTAACAAGAAGCTATTATGATACACGGTACTTACTTCGCAATTTAACGTAAATCGCCAGTTTATTGTCGCCTTTAGCCTTGCAATGATATTCTCCTGAGGCATCATCGTTGTAGTTCAGCACAATTTTCTCACCATTTTCATGGGTAGTGCCCTCAGGTTTTTCCCAGCTCTCCCCATTTACACATGTGAGCGTAATTTTATCTTCACCATCTTCTGCCTTAATATCCAAAACTGACAACAGACAAAGACAGTTTACATGGGGACATCCTATCATCCTCTACTTTAACGTAATCAGTTAAGAGCCACTATAGGCAGTTGACTATGCTTTGTATGCTTGTGAGAAACAGGTTATTTTTATGTAAAATGACTACTGCAATGACTGCTCTGATTTTAATTAGAAATGCAGTGCTTTAATTTTTTCCTTCTAAATGCAGTACTTGAAAAGTGCTGATTAGTCAATTAATACTCAATTAATATTGTCAATAATCTTATCGTTTATTTCTACTGAAATGTTCAATTAACATTTTCATCCATTGTCTGTATCATATTCATGTGTGACTCTAAATTCCTGTCAGATTTATTGCTGATATTCAGCTTTATGTAAAATTTCATATACATTGTAAAATTGTCTAATTCCATTCACAATCACAATCACAATCCTGACTGCACTTACAGTGCAGCTGAGAGCGGGAGTTTGCATCAAATGTACAACATATGCTAGTTCAGTTTTCAAGGCTGTCATATTGTTTTCTTCCTGTGTGTGTCTTTGCTTATGAGGTATAAAATTGTTGAAATTGTAGAAATTAACTGAAATATAAATACATACGTTTATTTGATTTAAAAATTAACTTATTGTAGAAATTAACTGAAATGCAAATACATACCTTCCTGTGAGTCTGGGAGGAAGATGGGGAAAAAAGATTTTTCAAATATTAGAAACAATATCACTTTTCAAAGTGAAAAATTTACTTATAAAAGAGTTACAGCCTATTCAAGTAGGGAGAAGGAAAAAATACATTTATACTCAAGGTCAGAGAGATATGGGGCTTATTCCCTACTGACCACTTTTCTTTACAGCATATTTACCCGGTAATATTACTTACCAGTTATGTCCCACATAACTAAAAACACCGTGAAAAGGAAAATACTTCTCATTTTGTGATCCCTCCCTCTTCGTCCAAAGAACTCAGGAATAAGTTTCCTGTGAGATTTAAATAACAACGATAATCATGATTACTATTGTTTTCACCAGGAGCCTCCGTGAGCATCACGGGGAGGCTCTGCTCGCTGGCACAGCAGGCCGCAGGCTGCAGGCCGCAGGAAGCAGGCCGCAGGCTGCAGGCCGCAGGAAGCAGGCCGCCATTTTCTCTCCGTCTTCCATTTTGCGATTCTGGTTTCCCCGTTCCCAGTGATCAGCTCGTTCACAGTGTCGTGCTTTCATTTAAAAAAAAGCTAGCAAGCTTAAGTCTAAAGTAAAAATTAGATTCAACTAATAATAGTTTTGTACTTTATAAAAAATCCGGAGCCATTATCAAAACATTTCCTAAATTTAGCAGTTATCCGATTAATAAATAGGCAATTGAGGTCTGTATGGAATTCACGATATGCAATAAAAACATCCAATTATTCATAATTTACAAAAAATTATTTACTATTAATTTTTCATTTTTGCAGTCTCAGATGCTACGTGCTGTAAGCTAATAAACAGACGTACTTTTGAAAGAGATCCCATAAATTTTTACTTAATGAGTATGAACACATCACACATCCTTTTGCAAAATATCTATAATTAATCAATAGATTCTAGCATAGAATCATGACATCTCTAACTCCGAAAATGTCCCATGAACAAGTGCTGCAAACATTAAAACACATAATTCCATAATATAAAAAAATGATAAATGTCTATTTAATACAATAGGTCAATATACTTAATGCATCAGTCAATGCTGCTGTAGATTTCTACAAACTTCTTAATACTTGTCAATGTTTCACATAATAGATGCATTGATATCTTGTGTCCAACATTAATAGTCTATTTGACATTTTTTACTGCTATTCCTGTCTCGCAGGCATAATCATGGCTGCCTTCTTCTTCTGAGAACGGGGCCGTGTACCTTAGAAGTCCAGCTTTTGTTCCTGCACTTTCGGATGGAATCGCAAGATGCCTGCCGGCGGCACTCGGAGCTCGAGGGCAGCCTTTCCAAGCGCAGTCGCCTCTGGGTGAATCGACCCGCCTGCTGTCTGCCTGCCTGCCGACTGGTAGCCTGTGCAGGGTTGTCTGCCTCTACGCGACTCTACATCCGCAATGTCAACTGCTTGGCGGAAACGTGAAAATGACAATAACAAAACGCGTAAGGGGAGGCTGTGGGAGGCAGGCGGTGGAGGGACTGTGACTCTTTATCTCCATCGTTGAATTTAGGCCACCCACCAATTCCCAGCATGTGCCTTGTGTTATTGTCACTCTCCTAACAAATTTCACTATATTGTGGGGCAAAGGTGGAAATTTCAGGTCCAGAAAGTAAAAATCCAGACTCTGTGACTGTGACTCTTTGTACTCAACTGGTTGGTTGAAACAAAATCTTACTCTGGATTTTTACTATCTGAACCTGAAATATCTGCCTCTGTTGTGGAGGCCTTGTTACAACTTAGGAACTCAACCCCCAAGATCCCTGAGTGTCTCGATGGTACTAAACTGTCCTGACTTTACCTTCAACCAATCCACACACATCTGACACCCCTGAGTCTCCCACCGAACATAGAGAGCAGCACCAAGACAAAAAAACAAACCTGATAGAAGGTCCCACAAGCTGCTTCCTGCCAGGTAACGGTAGAACCACCATGACCTACAACTGGCACCTGTCTTTTACGTACAATGCATGCACACACACATACACACACATACACACACACACACACACACCCATGGGTGCATTTCTGTCTTTCTGGGGACTTTCCATTAACACTCAGTTTACGGTAATGAATGACCTGTCGACTGTGACTTCGTTGTCCCGTAACCCAACCCCACAAGTCAAAGCAGATGGGAAGAACACATCTCAAGTAGCTTCTCACAGTATCACCATAACTCATCCTGTATAAAATAACGTTGTGTCGTCTTCACGCCCTCAGCACTGGCACCCAACACAACAACAACCGGCTCAGTATCCATGTACCGTGTCTCCTGTCTGGTACACAGCTGAGAAAGTTATCACATTGTGGTGGAAGGCTATTTTAACGCACCTCAAGGTCACGTTGCCTCCTAAAACTTCAGAGACCTTCAGCTAAAATACTCCAACGCCAAAAATCCAAGGTTGGCTACGGCACCCCCCCCCCCTTTTTTAATTGATTTCTTCCACTTGGACTATTGCACCTGACAGCGATCAGTCAGCAAAAGCAGTGTATTGGTCCTCATGTTTATTGTACCATATACACATAATCATCCCAGTTATGTACTTCAGCATTCACAGTATAATACCTTTCATATATAAATATATTATTTGACATCATACACAGAATTATATACATGTAACATTCCACAAAGAAACAGGAAGTTTGGAGAAGGCTGTGCTGAGGTCAGCGTGTGTACATACTGACCCAAAAAATATATAACTAAAGCCCTTTATGTCTTTAATCATTTTATTGAAGTATGGTTAAAACGTCTGATCCTAGACCAGAATGAGTACTCAGGGTAGAGACAGACCCTGCACTCTTAATAACTAATGGAAAGGGGGTTAGGCAAACAAAGCAGCGTTCATGCATAGACGACCCGCAGTTAGTTACTAAACTGCTCCCCCTGGTGGTGGTGGTGTTGCATTGAATCCAGAAGATAGCCCTGATCACAGGAGGGCACTTTGACTAATGTATCTCTTCATCTCCAGCCTTGGGCTTAAATATCACACCATCCCTTAAGTCTGGTGAGGAGTCAGTGCTCCTGGTCCTGATTGTTTGGAGTGATTAGTCATTTTGGAGGTCTTCTTGGAATCCCGTTGAATGCCGGGTATTCCGGTTGAGGCGCTTTCACAGCCAAACTTCATCGCTACTCACGCTGTTGACCTTGTAAATGTAGCCCACCATGGGGAATCGGGAAAACCCTGGACGGGATCACATGAGCACACACAGAATTTAGGCCCCAGGAATGCACACAGGAACTCTGGGAACGAACTTCTTAAAGAGGTAATCATTACATATGGGTTACAGCACAACAAGGCACTCAAACATTTTTAAATGCATTACTGCGGAGTCACCTGGCACACAGCAGAGGGTGACTGCCTGCGTGGATGCATTTAAAAACACCTTCACGTGCATTAACCCATTAATGCAACAGTTACATTTGGTTTACACATTTGTACTTAAAGACATTATTTTCACAAGCTGAAAATGAACTTATTACTTTAAGTACTTTCTTCTCCCAATATAAAATATTTCCATTTAGTTTCCGTTCATTTTAAATGGTGTTACACACCTGTAACGTTAAGCAACGTTAGTCAGAATTAAAGATTATTATCGCATATTGAGTTACTACTATGATTCACCTGGCTGACACTACATGCACGGTATTAGAAAATTAATCAGCACCCATCTGACCAATCAGATACCAGAACAGTGCCGTACTATACGCCTAGTTAAAATGGCAGAAACATTCACATGTCAGTACAGGTCAGCTGACATTAGTCTCAGGAGGACAGAGTTTCAGGTTGACTAACGAGTCCGTTCTAACCCTGTGTCAGTGTAACAGGAGGGTGGAAATGCAGAGAAGGTCAAACTCGGCAAACCTTTGGCAGCGTAGGCGGCCAACAAGTCGTGCCCGTCGTCGTCGGACTGTTTCTGCCCCGGACCTGCACTGGAATCCCCCATCCCTGCTGCATAAATGGGAGAGGCCAACAAGGGTCAGCACGTCCTGCCTGCCTGTTCAGCCACCCCCCTTTCTAGTGTATGGTGGTACTGCCCATAAGGTCTTCCTTGCTTTTTTTTTTTTTTTGAATACTTTATTGTGTCATTCTCTTTTCAATTATGCCATGAGACACACAGACAGGTGAGAACAAGCTTGAAGGTCATGGCACAGGATCAGAGCTCCTGTCAGAGCTAATGTTTCGAGGGGGTTAAGGGTCACGCACTGGGATCCAGTGGCGCCATCAGCATGCTGGCCCAGGGATTTGTACCAAAAACCCTCTGATCGCAGGCACAGAGTCTTAACTTGGTGAGCTACACACTGCCCCACCCCCGGCCTTCTGAATCACAGGGAAAGGATGGTCACCTTTGCAGAGGGCGCTGTGCTCGTTGAGCTGCAGGTTAGAAGGTAGGGACATGTTCTCCCGGGGCAGAATAACATGGTCCAGCTGCATCTGGTCAGATTCACTGCTGCGAGGACACACAGACACAGAGAGACAGACAGACAGACACACAGACACAGAGAGACAGACAGACACACAGACACAGAGAGACAGAGAGACACACAGACACAGAGAGACAGAGAGACACACAGACACAGAGAGACAGAGAGACACACAGACACAGAGACACACACAGACACACAGGCAAGGAAATGACAGAAGAGGATCCATGTTACTTTGGGAAGGTTTCATTGCTGTTCTGTATAAAGCAAGACTAAATAACCTGAAGTGTAATGATGCTCAACCACACCCACAAAGACACATTATTTATCACATATATTTTATCAATAAAGTGATCAGTTTACTTTATTTCATGCCATAGGTACCATTCTACTATTTACAGAAAATGCAATTAAATACTACATATAAATTGTGTCAATTGTATTAAAGAACCTTTTATTATTTTACTATATATAATGTACGGTGATAATGTTCTAGTTTGGATTTGTTTATATGACTCATTATAAATGCAAAAAAGGTTTTTTTAATTATCACAACACAACAACAAAGCAGCAAAAAATATAAACTGGCAGCCATATAACATAAGAACCCACATTAAAAGTGGCGCCAAATTAAATTTCTTTTGATTGATGTTTTGCTCAGACAAACAAGTTTGTCAACTTAGTCTATATAGAAAATAAGACAGAACTCAAGGCCCTCATGTAAAATCACAGTCACTAAATGTCATTAAAAGCTTAGTCATTAAGGGCTGATGGAGGGGGGGGGGGATTTTTTTCCCACGGATTAGCTGCAGTGACACCCCCACTGCAGGAGATGATGTGGGTATTCAATTTCATGAAGTTCCAGAGGTTCTTTGGAACAGACGGTAAACGATGACTTCTTACAGCTTCAAGTCAGAACAAACTATACCAGCCAAAGTGTTTTTCAGCTTCCAACAGGGAAATGACCTTCATATTTCAGCATTAATATGTTTAATATCTCAACACATTTAAGTAAAGTATCAACAATTACACATTGAAACACATCATTTTTGGCATATTTAGAGTGGCTTTCAATAAGTGGTATTTAATATAAACTTAAGATATACACTGGTTGAAATTTGATTTGCATAAAATAATTTCACATTAAAATAGGAAATAATTAATTGTGCAAAGAAATTTACGGTTATAAAATGCACATTGTGATCTTTAGAATATCTTCCAGGGAAGCTTACCTCTTCCGGATCGTCATCTCCACTGGTTCGTCTGAAACCAACACAAGACCATGCATGTTAAACTCATTCCTCCATTTTGTAACTACATAGTAGATAAGACTTCACTGTATATTTACCCCCCCCCCCCCCCCCCCCCCCCCCACCTGATTTCTAATATATTTTTCAATTCTGAATCCATCTCGCTCCTCCTTTCTTACCTATGTTTTTCCCCTTGTTTTTGTGCATCAGGTAAAATAAAAATAAGGTAAGGATGAGGAGCATCACAAACCCAACAGCGCCCCCTGTCACAATCCCCAGCAATGGCACCTCCACTCGGGACTGCAGGAATTCTAGACCGGGGAGTCGGAAGATTAGGAAAGCTGAAAGATGTACAAAGGGACTGCAATAAACAATGGCAGAAGTGGTTATGAATTAGAATGACCTGCAAGCGTGAGGTTGCTCTGGGCAGAACCCAAGCTATTGCTGGCATTCAAGGAGACATTTCCTGTTAGGCTGCTGGGGGAGACACGCAGCGTGTGATTGGTCAGCCAGGGGTAGCTGCGTGAGTCCAGGATGAAGAAGTCAGAGGTGTTGGCCACCGGCCGCCCGGCCTGGTCCACCCAGGTTATGGTGGCAGGGGGATTGGAACGTACCAAAGCAAACAAAACTAGGGACAGGCCAGGGTCTGAGGTCTCACTGTAATGGGCATTTACTCGCAAAATCTCCGGCTGATCTGTACAGGCAGGTAAAAGCACAAAAAGAAGAGGGTGGGTGAGTATGTTGCTTTTTTGTCTCACTGCAATTGCAACAGCTGAAATATAAAATGTCCTAATGTGGTCCATATGTAATATATATACTGGGACAGGTTTGTCTAAACATGAACATGCACTATTATATATGCTTAAGTCTTCATTGGTTTATAGCATCCATCTACCCATCCATACCACTTAGCCAGTGATGGGTCACGGTGAACCTGAAGCCTAGCCAAGTAGGACAGGGCACGTGGCAGGGGACACCCCAGACTGGATGCCAGCCTATCACAGGGCACGTGGCAGGGGACACCCCAGAC